TCCTCAGAAAAGGGCGAGAGACTGAAGGATATATCTAAACTCAATGATACCCCTGCAAGGAAGCTGAGCACCGTACACGTGGCACAGAAGCAGGGCTGTCGTCAGACTTATTATTGATCTCGCTGGGTCCCATGCTGTGCTGCGAATAGTTCAACAGTCTGTGCATGAAATCAGCTGATTTCTTTTGTTCTTAGCGGAGATGAGATGGTTTGAGGATTGAAATGCGGGACCCACTGGAACTGGGGAAGGTGGGGCCTATTAATAATAATACAGGATACAGCTTCGTATTCGTATGCGGCCTCCGTGTCGGTGTCAGATGCACATAGCACTCTGATAGCAGAGGTGGAGGGGGAGGGGTTCCCAAATAACCTACCCAATCGTACGCCGTTTAGGTTGTGTGTGAGGGGTAGTACCATTTTACTGTAGGTTGTAAAAATTGGCATTGTCATTGTGGGACGAGCTTTTTTTTCCTCTTTTACGCTCTTCCTCCATTCCCTCTTTTTACCATTTTACCACAAACAACGCCCAATGCGTGGATTCAGGTCCCCTGTCTTGCCATTTCTAGGCACCCCCCCCCTCTCTCTCTCATCCATTCCATTGTAATGTCTTCCCTTCAATCTTCTCCTATTTTAATTATTCTTCATTTTTGGATGAAACTTAATGTATTTTCGCCTTGCTTCTAACCAACCAAAATGAATAGAATATGTCAATCCAGTCAACTTTTGCTGTAGGGAGATCCTCCCGTCGGACCCTTTCAAGATTACGTGTATGGCCACTATTATTCCGGAGCTTTATTTACGGTTTGTGTTGTATTACTATTAAATAAACAAAAATAGGAGGAATAATAGATGACAAAAGGAAAAATATATCAAAGAAAAAAGTTTAGGCTTCCAACTTGAACGTGTATTAAACTATATTCATAATTCCCTATTTTTCTATACAATGCACTCTAAAGAACATCCAAGGTATTTTGAATAATCCTTTACAATGCACTCTCAGTGCGTGTCTCTCTCTTCTCTCTCAATTCTGTAAAAGGGTTGTTTCCTCTCCCCTCTATAAATCACATTCTGCCCCTGAATTTGGCATCAATTCATGGTCAGATGCATTCTCCTATACTTTGGGCCTAGAAAATTTTGATCTGGGCTGATTGGTACTTCTCCCTTGTTTGCCTACAAATTAAGGCCCAGTTTTCCGAGACTTAACTGAAACTGGTAACAACCCACAATTTTTCATCTAAGGGAATTAAAACATCATTATAGTAAATAATAATGGATGGTAATAAATCGTAATCCACTTCAATTGGTGAAACAAGTCAAGATTTATGTCTAAATAGCATATAAATTTAACATTTTGAGGCCAGACCCGACTAACTTCTCATCACGTTCAACCCGACTTTGAAGAATAAGCCTCAGTTTCGAAGGAGTACAAATATAAATATGTAGAGTGTAAAACCTTGTATTTTATATTATTTTGTATATATTTATATTTGTAGTCCTTTCACACTGAACCTAATAGTTGATTGAAGATTGAAAAAAATATACCAATCAAACCAACATTTTAATTAAACAATGATGAAAATCTGCAATTTTGTTGGGGCGTATAGGTAGACATGCATCATATTGGTGATGGGTTCGGATATAGTAGGTACGTTAGGTAAGTATAATGAGTGAGAACGTAATAGTTGTGTGACACATGTCCCAGTTAATGCATCTTTCATCTAAACGTTTTTACTCCGTTAGACAAAAATTATCTATTATTTTATTATCTTTGTCAAAATAATTAAAAATAAAAACAATGAGAAAGGAAAACCTAAACATATTAAGAATTGTGACTCATTTACGTTTTTATTTTTTATTATTTTTTATTTTTAATTATTTTGACAAAGATAATAAAATAATTGATCATTTCTATCTAACGGAGCAAAGACTTTTGAATGAAAGGCATATTAGCTAGGACATGTGTCATATAGCTATTACGTGCTCACTCATTATGCTTACCTAACGTGCCTACTACATCCAGACCCATTAGGAACTTTGTATTAATTA